ATCTCATGTTGGTTACTTGTGATTTGAGCTACTCAAACTCTTGTTTTTCACTCGCATACTAGTAGGTAGTGCTCCGATTCTTCTATGGATGATGTTATGTTGGTTACTTGTGATTTGGGCTACTCAAACTCTTGCTTTTCACTCATATACTACTAGGTAGTGCTCCGATTCTTCTATGGATGATCTCATGTTGGTTGCTTGTGATTTGGGCTACTCAAACTCTTGTTCGTCACTCACGTGTTAGTAGGAAATCCTCCGATTCTTCCATGGATGATCTCTTGCTCAAATCTTGTGAGATAGCCAAGTGCAACTCTTGGTTTTCACTCATATACTAGTAGGTAGTGCTCGTTCTTCTATGGATGATCTCATGTTGGTTACTTGTGATTTGAACTACTCAAACTCTTGTTTTTCACTCACATACTAAAAGGTAGTGCCCTGATTCTTCTATGGATGATGTTATGTTGGTTACTTGTGATTTGGGTTGCTCAAGTTCTTGCTTTTCACTCATACACTAGTAGGTAGTGCACTACAACTTCAATGGATGATCTTTGATGCAATCTTGGTGATCTAGCCTACTCACACTCTTGCTTTTCACTCACACACTAGTAGGTAGTGCACCACAACTTCCATGGATGATCTTTGATGCAATCTTGGTGATCTAGCCTACTCACAGTCTTGCTTTTCACCCACACACTAGTAGGTGGTTCACCGCTACTTCCATGGATGATCTTTAATGCAATCTTGGTGATCTAGCCTACTCGAGTTATTGCTTTTCACTCATACACTAGTAGGTAGTGCACCGCAACTTCCATGAATAATCTTTGATGCAATCTTGGTGATCTAGCCTACTCACACTCATGCTTTTCACTCACACACTGGTAGGTAGTGCACCGCTACTTTTATGGATGATCTTTGATGCTATCTTGGTGATCTAGCCTACTCACACTATCACTTTTCACTCACACACTAGTAGGTAGTGCACCACAACTTCCATGGATGATCTTTGATGCAATCTTGGTGATCTAGCCTACTCACGCTCTTGCTTTTCACTCACACACTTGTAGGTAGTGCACCGCTTCTTCCATGGATGGTCTTTGATGCAATCTTGGTGATCTAGCCCACTCAAGTTCATGCCTTTCACTCACACACTAGTAGGAAGTGCACCGCTTCTTTCATGGATTACCTTTGGTTCAACCTCGGTGATCTAGCCTACTTAGGCTCTTGCTTCCACTGAAATTAGTAGTAGGATGTGCTCTAATTCTTCCGTAAATGGATCTTTGCTCAAATCTTTGTGTTTGATTTTGTTAGACTTTCGCCTTCACTCACACGATACTAGGTGATGTTCCGCTTCTTACTTAAATGATCTCTCCTCTATGTGCATGTGTTTTCTACTAGATCTCGCTTCTCATTGTCAAGTTCATTCTTGATGTGATGTTCTGCATCTTACTTAGTTCATCTCTTCTGTATGTGCATGTGCTTTCCACTAGATATAGCTTCTTATTCTCAAGTTCATGCTTGATGTGATGTTCCGGATCTTACTTAGATGATCTCTTCCTCTATGTGCATGTGCTTTCCACTAGATCTAGCTTCTCATTGTCAAGTTCATGTGTGTTGTGATGTTCCGGATCTTGCTTAGTTTTTCTCTCCTCTATGTGGATGTGCTTTCCACTAGTTCTAGCTACCCATTGTCATGTTCATGTATGTTGTGATGTTTCGGTTCTTGCTTAGTTGATCTCTCCTCTATGTGCATGTGCTTTCCACTAGTTCTAGCTTCCCATTGTCATGTTCATGTATGTTGTGATGTTCCGGTTCTTACTTAGTTGATCTCTCTCCTATGTGCATGTGCTTTTCACTATTTATAGCTTCTCATTGTCAAAGTTCATAAATGTTGTGATGCTCCGGTTCCTACTTGGTTGATCTCTCTCCTATGTGCATGTGCTTTCCGTTAGTTCTAGCTTCTCATTGTCAAAGTTCATGTATGTTGTGATGTTCCGGTTCCTACTTGGTTGATTTCTTCTCTATGTGCATATGTTTTTAACTAATTGTTAAGTTTATTTTGTGTTGTGATGTTCCGGTTCCTACTTAGTTGATCTTTCATCCATGTGCATGTGCATTTCGCTAGTCTCAGTTTCTCATTGGCAAGTTCATGTGTGTTATAGTATTCGGTTCATACTTACTTGATCTTTTWCTMTCCTCTYYTCTCTCTCTCTCTCTCTCTCTCTCTCTCTCTCTCTCTCTCTCTCTCTCTCTCTCTCTCTCTCTCTCYTCCWCYGCTYTTTCTCTCCYCCTTCACCTTGCCCCYCTTTCTCYCTTCCCCTCACTYSGCATATGACTAACYCTTCTCCCCTCACTTGTTACAATCCCAGGGTGCGAACAGTAAAAGGGGGATCAAACCTCACTTGGTGGAGAGAGAGGGCAAGGGTAGGGTAGCCGGTCCCTTGCGCCACCAAGAAGGCAAAAAAAAAGGACGTTGGAAAAGTGGAAAAGGACGAGATGCGGAGAAAGTATAAGTTAAAACGAGGTCAGTTTGACTTAACCATTTCCCCGACTGCATGACTATGAGAGGAGGATGGGCAAATTGAGCAAAGAAAAGGGAACAAAGAACAGCCAAAGAGTTTTGAAAAGATAGGCATATGGGAAGGGCTATGTGTTGACCCCCAACGGGGGATTGTATGGATTTTTGCTTTGTATGGGATTGTGCAGGTAAGTGAAGGCTAAGGATGCCTTGAGCGGGATAGGGTCGGGAGGAACCGGGCATCAAAATGAAAAGGGAAGAGGGACGAAGGGGGTTACGAGACCCTTAGCATAAAGCCAACCCATGAGAGTGACCTTTGCGCTTGAGATTTGGAGTGTGAATGAGGAAAGGGCGTGCAATCTTGCCAAGGAAAATGTGAAGTTATGTGTGCATGCATGTAAAGGCCCCGGAAAGACTAAGGGGCCTGCTTCAATAATTTGAGTGTGAATTAAGAGACCCGAGGGGTGCATAGAGGCGAGGGGGAGGACGGCTTCGCCACACCTTGATGGCGGCGTAGGAACACAAGGTTTAGGGAAATGATGCGCGGCCTAAAGATGACGCTTAGTCTGCGCACAAAAGAAGAAAACTCTAAAAAAACCCCTGGACTACCTGCGTATTGGAAGGAGCAATTGCTTGAGAACACGACAAAGAATCAAAAAAAAATCAGCGCTCCGAAATGACCAGCGAGACTACCACCCGGCGTGAGGGCTGAGCTACATCCCCAATGTCAAAGCTCTCTCGTGCGATGGCCCACCCCCATCCATCTCAAAGCACTAGGTGGGGGTGACCCTGGGACGAACGACCCGCGCCCTGAGCATGAGCATGGGCGGGACGAGCGAACTAGGACCCGCAGTGGGGTCGACTAAGGCTCGAAAGTCTACCGGGGTTTGGCCCTACAAAAATGGTGGAGGTGACGGGCAAGGGTTAAATTGACCCTTGCGATTCCAAAGGGGGCGCCCGACGCATTGACGTGTACACAACCCAAGATAAGGAAAATGGACTTGTGTTTGCTCTTTCCCTTGTGAGAAATCAGCTTTGAGAGTGGCTGGGCGCATGGCATGGCCAGACGTGGAGGTATAACATGCATGCTATGCACTTGATCAGCCGTTTCCTTGTGGAATGGCTCTAGCCCTCCTTCATCCGGTGCCGGTGTTCGCCAGTCCGGGGAAGCCTTGGGCAAGTCGCAGGTCGACCCTTCCTCTTCGTATGAAAGAAGAACTCCGGTTACCTGGCAGGCAGTTG